TGCAACGCCTGTGTTCGCTCAACTTAGTGAAAGGTAATAAGTATTGCGATAGTTGTGTAACAGGACAACTCTGAACTCAATACTATTATATGAGTGAGTTCGATTGTTACGTTCGCAAACCCTCTTTGTGGAGCTACTCCTTGTATTATTTGACATTTTCTCAAGAAGACTTCAAGTGAGAGTTTGAGTCTCTTAGGCCGAGGTCATAGTTCGTCGGGATTGATGTATTTTGCTTCGGATTTTGGTTGATTGCCTACCGCTGAATTATGAGACTCGAGCTAGTGATGGAGCAAATTTTTGCATCATTCGGTTACCTTACGAAAGTGAAAGGCTGGCTGTCTTCAAGTCAATTTATCTCACTGTTAAGCAAAGACATTTCCGTTGCGGTAATGTCTACAATTGTGGTAATTGTTTGCCCCTTTCGAGAGCTTAAATTGTCTTACATATTAACTTCTGGATTAGTTGGGACTGATATGTTCATCTAGATTTCATAATGCAGAGCGAGAAGGGAAAACCACCCTTCTTTCCACAAAAGGTTATTTATTGTATGCTTGCAGATTCTCACTGCCAAATCTGCGTTTTGGAAAACTTGACGTGGGGCGATGGCCGAAAGAGGCAGAGCGCTTCCGCGTCAATGCTCACCCCACATCTCGTCAACTGCCTACCATCTGCGTGTTCAAGTATGTTTCTCCTTGGCAAGAGTTTCAAATTTAAAGGCTTCTCTTGTGGTCTCAGTATTTTCCAAGCTTTTCAGAGACGCTAAGGAAATAAAACGAAGACCACTTGTCAATGAGAAGAGACGAGCGATTCCATTCGTATTTAGCCAAGTTGGTCTTTCAAAGTTTAAACCTCCCAGTTTAGATTTAATCGTTTTTTTTTTGTTCTAGGATAATTGCATACTGGATTTCGACCTGTTAAATATACATAAGGAGTGTTTGGAGCGTTTGTCCTCCAAAGATCGGAGAGAAATCGAGGAGGAGAAGAAGTCGCAATGACCAGTGCTGTTTTGTTTTCTAGGTTCCATGCTGTACATACTAGAAAGGGAGTTCTAGTCTTACTTTCTAAATTTCATAGTAAACTTCCTAAGTGCGCTGCAACATCGATGATACTGTGGAAACAGAGGTTTTTTTTTCAAATATTGTCTCAGGTTGATCCTCAAGTTTTAATTTGGTTTCGTGTCCTCTTTGTTCTCGTCCCACGTTTCGTATTTTTCTTTGAGCCGCTACACTGATTTGCAAGAGTATTGGTTTTTCAAAAATTTTATTACCACTCCTTGAACTGGATTATATCCTATTTTCGGGCGTTCTAATTGAAGTCCTAGCCGTAATAAAAGTTTCTCGCTATATTCTTCGCGTTCTTTCAAAAAACCTTTAGTGCTCACATCTCTGCGGCCAAGATAGTGCTGCTCTCTAGATAAAGGAAGTTGACTCACTCGAAAATGGATCATTTCGATTTAGGCAATACGCTCTGCTCTGCACACAACGGACAGCTTTGGAAATTGCCTGTGCGGAATGCCTTCTAGCACTGCTCAGGAGGCCACTGGAGAAAAAGATCGGCTTATTCATTTATCATCGCGTTTATATAATATTTGTTATTATTGTGTGTTCATAGACACATTTCATATTCACGTTGGGTAGGATCGTTTGGGAGACGCTGGCAACATTTTTATGGACGGAGTAGGCTGTCAAAACGGGCGAGGGAGATAGCGATATCCAATTTCAACGTACGGACGATGCTAATGATGCTAGCCAGGAAGATCAAGTACGACGTCATCGGACTGCCGAGACGAGAAGGCACCGCCCGCTACACGCCGTTTTCTGATATTGGAGAAGAACTGTTTCTTGGAACATGCGACAGCAGAGGTGTTAACACGTACGAAAGCCTACGACCCGAATCGGACGTTTGAGATTGAGAAGATGTGGTTCAACTCCTGCTTTGACAATCTTCGTCGCCTACGCACCAACATCCAGCTACGACGAGGAGGAACACGAAGCATTTTATATGGAATTGGAGAAGTTCTACAAGGAAGATCATACCTTCTTCAAGGTCATCGTCGGCGACTTCAACGCCAAGATTGGCCCAAGAAGAACGGCTGAAGAACTTCACATCGGTACTCACGGAATGGATTGGAATGAGCAGGGCGAAAGACTGTCGGAGTTTATCATGTCGACCAACACCATCCATGGTAACTCGCAGTTCCAAAAGCTTTTCTGCTCTGGTATGAAAACAGAACGATGACTAGAATAAAACATCAGGGAAGTAGCAAGCAAATTTCAATAATTTATCTATTAAAAAACTCGCAGTAGTCAATCAAATCAGTAGTGAGGTGGGATGAAGGCAGTCCTTCCTATGATTACAACAACCTGGCGATTGAACTTTTTCCCACATCCTTCTAATGAGGTCAACAAATGATGTTTCACAACAAAAAAAGAAACTTAGAAAGAGTACATATATAATTTGGGTCTCAGACAACAACACTCGGATCCCAACTCGCTTTGTGACACTTGCCGTTTTTCCACAATTTTTCTATGTCCTCCGGAGAAATGCGAACATCTTTTGCTGCAAAATTGGCGATCGTCCGTTCACGTGAGGTACTGCGTGGCAGTACGCTGATTGACTGTGATATTGCCCAGGACAGCAGGAATTGTGGAACGGTAATCTCGTATTTTGCTGCAAGTTCCACCACATCAGGATCACTGAAGAGCTCTTCACGATAGTCCGGTCCTCCCAGGCTGCTGTAGGCCTGAAAGGGGGAGCTCAAGTCATAGCCGACTAGAAAACAAAATAAAGGATTAAAATTTCAGGAACGGTATGTGAATTCTGGGACGATAGTGCGCGAAGTAACGGGGCGGCTCTCGTGCAAGATGGCAACGGGAAATAAAAAAAGGCAAGATCAAAAACTGTGAAGTCATGGTTACAAATAGACCAGATTATCCAGGCTAGCCGCGCTGCGAACGCACGCCACAACCATCCATAAACTGCACAATCAATAATAATGAAATTATTGCAAGACGTAATAATTACCTGGAAATGAATGTCGTGTGACATACAGTAGTCGTAGAGATCTAACTGATGAAAATGCGGATGAAATTCGACCTGACAATTAAAAATATTTCGGAAAACAAACCAATCAAGAATTTCCTCCACTGTACCTGATTCACAGCCGGGTGGACTTTACAGTGCTCGAGTAATTCCTCCAAGTGTCGTATCTCATAGTTTGACACCCCAATTGCGCGCAGTTGACCGTCAGCTGAAAAATCTTCATCTTTAAGAATTCACTCTGAAACAAATGTGCGCTTGCCGAATACTTCTTACAGAACGACCGAGTCAATCGAGTTCAAACTCACATCTTGTTTTTTTGACTACAAATTTTATATTTCTGGCGTCTCGGTACGAGGAGTAGTTCCAATGACCAAAATTAAATTTTGCTGGGGACAGCACCCATGTCGGGTTACTGTAAGAAATCATCGCCCGTGCACACTGATCATTCAGCCGTCTTCCAAAGGATCAACGTAGGTTGGCATGAGCAAGGGCAGGTCAAATGGACAAAGGATTGAGCAATCGACGTTGATTCTCTTTTGGGATGCGCAACGCACCCCGAATACCTTCAGAATCGTAGGGGCATTCCAATGGTATTCGACTAATGGAATAACCACCATGGGTGCGTTGATTTGAAAGGCCCAAAGGGGACTGGTACCAACTGGTACTGCGCGACTAGTGGGTTAGGAATCTCTCAACAGAATCCGACCCGAGGCTTGAATACCGGAGCGGGTGCATGACAGTCGGCCCTTATGCAACTACACTATCTCCACTCCGAGTCTTGGCCTCCTTCCACCGTCACCTACTTGATGGTGCAAGAACATCTAGTCTTCATTCGGGTCAAGTGCACACAGCTGCTGAAAAGGGTTTGGAGAGTCCTCAGAACGTCTAGGATTCATTGGACACCTACCACTTTTGGTTTCCCCTCAATATGATTTCCAAAGTACAATTTAGCTTGTGGCAGTTCAACCCACCTTAAAGGAGGAATTCACGATTAGAATGAAGGTCGAAGAAAGGGAAACTGACCTAGTTGAGGGACCCACGGACCTCCTGAGGGTGCGAACTGACGCGCAATTCGCATGGAAAAATTTGACCTCGGCGACCTATCATGCCTCAAAGCTGGCGGGTCCGGCGATCTCCGCCCACCGATCATCTGATCACTCGCCGTAGTTCAATACGTGGCGAGTGATTAGATAGCTGAGAGAGCGTAGTGTTGAAGAGGGCACAGCGATGAGAGTCGCATCAATGCTCAAATCAACGGGCAAGGAAGGGGTCCCATTTCTCGGGTTCTGGGCCGTTTCTCATGGTTCTTCCTTCTTTCGTGTACCACTCACCATCCCTAGGTTAATTTGAAATGGGTTGCTTTTTCATCGTGAATTCGTCCTTTAAATAGTATTAATTAATTCTTTCTATTTCTCAGATGTAGGCTTTGCTTCTTGTGCACTAAAACTGTTAATAGTTCCCATGTCCGTCTTTCTTGAAACCTGGGCATTCTTCATGAGTGTTTTGTTAGTGCTGTGCCATACAGGTTTTTTATGGTGGAATATTTATTATGCCTGACGTTTCGACGATTTCGTCGTTATCAAAGGCCTGAAAGCATATCGAAACGTCTTGCGATGTTGCCGTTCCGCTCATAGCTGACCCACTCCTACTAAATGTAACAGCTCCCCCGCGCGACTACGCGCGACTACGCGCGACTCATAGAGCAGAAGTTCGAATAACGGTCAACTCACCTTAATTCCACCAGGACGGGCCGCTCAGCTCCGCGAGTCAATGGAGAAAGTGAGACTGACCGCTTGTGTGCTGCTAGCAAAGTGCGCACGTGCCGTACGTTACGTTTGCCTAATCAGAGCTCACAAAGCGGAATGTATGGCAAGAAATCATCAGTTATGGAAGATGCACTCATTCCTGTTATTCATACTCGGATTACGTTGTTTTATCCAGAAGGCCTCGAGAGTTTTCCTAGCACCGATATCATTATATATCTTGGTCAGTACACCAAGAGACAACCTTAAACATCAATTGGTCAGAAATCGCCTCTACGACCGGAATTGCACCATGGATAACTGCGTGATCTGCCCGTATGGAAAGGTAGGAGACTGTGCACAAAGATCTGTGGTTTACCAGCTTCAGTGTTCAACATGTAACGCCTTGTACATTGGAGAAACTGGGAGACAGTTGGGTGTACGTATAAAAGAACATCTGGCTAGTAAACGAAGGGAAGGTTTGACCGCACCACTTGGCAAACATAGGAGGGAAAGTCATGCGGGTTGTGACTTTGACGTTAAGTGCACGATTCTGGCGTACGAGAGTGATATCGGTGCTAGGAAAACTCTCGAGGCCTTCTGGATAAAACAACGCAATCCGAGTATGAATAACAGGAATGAGTGCATTTCCATAACTGATGATTTCTTGCCATACATTCCGCTTTGTGAGCTCTGATTAGGCAAACGTAACGTACGGCACGTGCGCACTTTGCTAGCAGCACACAAGCGGTCAGTCTCACTTTCTCCATTGACTCGCGGAGCTGAGCGGCCCGTCCTGGTGGAATTAAGGTGAGTTGACCGTTATTCGAACTTCTGCTCTATGAGTCGCGCGTAGTCGCGCGTAGTCGCGCGGGGGAGCTGTTACATTTAGTAGGAGTGGGTCAGCTATGAGCGGAACGGCAACATCGCAAGACGTTTCGATATGCTTTCAGGCCTTTGATAACGACGAAATCGTCGAAACGTCAGGCATAATAAATATTCCACCCTAAAAAACCTGTATGGCACAGCACTAACACAAACACTGAATTAATATTTTGATGACGCAAAGAGTGCCAAATAACCTTAAAAATGTCATTCCTAGCAATTTCAGGCTGTGCAAGACACTAAGTACTCGCAGGCGAGGTAAATATGGGTAAAATGTAAAGCAAGTAGTTGCAGGGTTCATGAGCGCTTGGATTGATCCATTAACT